CCAAATTATAACTTAGGGCAAAAACATCTTAATAATGTAAACATTTCAGTAAGAACCAAATTAAATTCCTTTCCTTAAGTATATTTGTTCAGCTGGGTGTGGTGGCTCATGCCTGTAATCCTAGCTCTTTGGGAAGCTGAGGCAGGCAGATAAACTGAGATCAGGAGTTTGAGACCAGCCTGGCCAACATGGTGAAACCTTATCTCTACTAAAAATACAAAAATTAGCTGGGCATGGTGGTGCATGCCTGTAATCCCAGCTACCCAGGAGGCTGAGGCAGGAGAATCGCTTGAACTCAAGAGGCGGAGTCTTGCAGTAAGTTGAGATCGTGCCACTGTACTCCAGCCTGGGCGACAAAGTGAGACTCCATCTAAAGAAAAAAAAAATTATATGTGTGCATATTTTAGTGTTCCTTCTATATGAATGTGTATATATATGCATCTCATCATATAAAGGAAGCAAGTGTTTCATTATGTATTGAGGCTTCTAGGGAATTAAAAAACAATATCTACTTTAGAAATTACTTCTGTTTCCATACTGCAAACTCTGTTATCCCAGAACTTGTTTTGACCAATATATTCTATAAGCATTGCTAACGAAGAGGAAAAAGAAGACTTACATTGTATTTCCTTTCTGTGGATGCGTGGTCCATAGTAAAATGCCCAGAATTCTTTAGAAAAGTGAAAGTGAAGCAAAGCTCCAGGCAGCTGTTAAACTGAATTTAACCTCTGAGTAACTTCACAGTGCCTGAACCAGAGCTTTCAACAAGGAGATTTACATGGAAAAGGCTGGAAATTTGCTTTAAAATTTACAAAAGAAAATCTTTCAAATAGAAAATTAAAGGTGAAGCAGATGTCAGACTGCCTTTCTGTGTGTGTCAGCAAAAGAAGACATTATTATTATTATTATTATTATTATTACTGAGATAGAGTTTTGCTCTTGTTGCCCAGGCTGGAGTGCAATGGTGCGATCTCAGCTCACCGCAACCTCTGCCTCCCTGATTCAAGCGATTCTCCTGCCTCAGCCTCTGGAGTAGCTGGGATTACAGGCACACACCACAACACCCAGCTAATTTTTTGTGTATTTAGTAGAGATGGGGTTTCACCATGTGGCCTGCTGGTCTTGAACTTTTGACCTCAAGTGATCCACCTGCCTTGGCCTCCCAAAGTGCTGGAATTACAGGCGTGAGCCACCGTGCCTGGCCAACAATACATTATTTTTCTAGGGACAGAGTGCGCTAGGAATTTACATAATAGATAGGCCACATTCTAAGAATGAGAAATTGTGTTTCATAAATCTCTCTAGAGACGACTGCAGAATCATGTGGCCTGAAACAGTCTTTTCATATGTCTCTGATTTTCAGAAAAATATATTTTTGGATTCCTACAAAAAGAGGTGACATTTTACGTTCTCCATAAAAGATTCTCTTGGAAAGTTATTTTATAGTTTGTCTCTTAGACCTGGCATCTCTCCGCTTGCTATCTCTCCCCATCTCCCCACCCCCCTGAGATTTTTAACAGTTTTCAGTTGCAATCATTCCGAAGAGATTTTTTTTGGGGGGGAGCTCCAGACAGGAATCATATCTCGTGTAAAAGATGGAAGAGAAGATGGACTGGGTTATTCAGGGTTTGAGGAATGAGTAAGAGAGTAATTTAAAGTTTTTCTTTTTATCACCAGAGTTCTCTCTCTATCCCTCTAAAGTTACTGAGCCCAGACCGAAGAATGATTTTTTAGTTAGTCCAGGGGATATGAAATATACCAGTGCCTGCTTCCACACTGTCTGACTTCGGCATGCACTTCTAACTACTCTGTGTGTACATATTAGTTGCCAGCTATATGAGTTTCTAGCTCATACTTGTAGTGATAGAAAATGCCTGGCAAGCGTGACATCAACTCTTGACCTGCAAGTCATTATTAATATATCAAACCACTTTTTCTCTCTGAGCTCAAGAGCGTGAATCAAGCAGCTATTACAAATCAATAAGCACTGTCATAGTAGATAAAATCTGATCATCTGAGCCCTTGGTTTCAATCAGCCACTATTCTTCTGTCAGGGGACAAAAGGCTAAGAATTTTAATGCAAAATGGACTTCTGAATCTAGGGAAAAGCCTCCAGAGTGATCTTTCTGTCACCTAAAACTTCCTGAGCATCAGATCCCTCAGGTAATAATAAGTGTGAGTGTGTATCTTCTCACACATCCTTTGCAGTCTACAGTTGTACATAAAGGCTAAGACATTAGGCCAAGAAAATATTATCCTTTATGGATAAAAATAATGATAAGTGACAACTGTAAATGTGCTGTGCAGTAGAACTTTCTGTGATGAAGGTGATCATCTCTGCTGTCCATCATGTAGCTGCTAGCTATTGTGCACTTGAAATGTGATTACTGCTAATGCAACTGAGGAACTGCATTTTTAACTTTATTTAATTTTAAAGAATTTAAATAACGATGTATTTTACAGATTGAGTATCCCTTATCCAAAATGCTTGAGACTAGGAGTATTTCCGGTTTCAACTTTTTTTCAAATTTTAGAATATTTTTACTGAGATACATGGGGTTGAGACCGAAGTTGAAGCACAAAATTCATTTGTTTCATATACGCCTTATACATGTGGCCTGAAAACAATTTTATGTACTATTTTTGGTAATTTTGTGCATGAAACGAAGTTTGTGTACATGAGGTCAGGTCTCTAATTTCCCACTTATATTGTCATGTCAGTGTTCAAAATGTCCTCAGACATTCACTTTTGTGCAGGCTGAAATGTCTGGCTCATAGAAAGGCTTGCATCACTCTATGACACTCTTATTCTTGTTTTATAACTAGTGTGTATGTTTAAGAAACATAGAGAGGCCCATTATCTTGCAGACACATTTTGTGGATTAATACCTGCTAGTTTGATTTTGAAGGCCCTCAAAATGTTCAAAAGGTTTTGAATTTTGGAGCATTTCAGATTTTGAATTTTTACATTAAGGATGTTCAACTTTGTGGTAGCTACAATATTAGTCAGGGAAAGTCTATAAAAGTCCCATAGAGATCATCTATTTTATAGTATGATGGAGAGTTGGTGTTCTTACTAAATTATGTGTTTCCCTCTTTGGTATAAGCTTATTTAAAATGTGTAGTATGAGAAAAATGAATATAAAACTTCCAATGTGGCATGCTTTAGTAGTGTATGGAAATGCTGGATGATGTAATTTTTTAAAAATTATGATATATAGAAACATGGACTGATCCATAATAAATTCCTCATGTGAACTTATTCACAAAACAGAGACATGAGATTCGTTGTAAATATCCTAGCCATTATAAATGTGTATGCAAGAGTCTTTTTATAAGCTGTGAGATCCTACTTTTTAAGTGGAAACTATCTTTCACAGTTTTCTTCTTACATCATTTATAACACATTGTAAGTATTCAAAAATTTTTGTTTTTTAAAAAATGAACAGAGTTTGTCAGGTTCTAGTACCCATATGAAGCATCTCTCACCTCTGCTGAGAACAGTGATAAACAGAAAATCAAAGAAGAGCTCTTTAACAAGTAAGTCATCACTTTCTCGCCGTAAAATTGCTGTGGGCTAATGAACACAGAGAAAGAAACACAAAAGAAATAGTAACACACAGCATTTCTCAGCACATGTTCAACCCTTTTTCCCAAAAGTCATATCAAGTTGTAATCACTTAATTGGTACTTGGTTGCTAGGCTATTTCTGTCATATATGTGTGAGTATAGACATTCCAAGTGACTCTACTTCTTAACTTAAAATGAACTGAGTATATGTGTTGTTTTCACATTGGGTTCTTAGTCTTCACCAGGTGTTGCTGAATAAAGTTAATGCCAAATGATTAAACAGAAAATGTTTCTTGGGATTGTTTACATCAGGAAGGATGTCTCCTGCAGTTAATTTTCTTGAGAGGTTATATGTTAGTCTAGACCTCCTGTGTTCTGGACCTAAATAACAGTCTTGGAATCCTTAACTACTGAAGCAGAAATCCCTTTTCTCCTACTTAACAGTAGCAAAATTATGAAAAATTCTGAGAGTAGAATTTTCTCATAAACCCCAGCTATCAGTGGAGACTGTCAAGGCTTGTAAGTCAATTCAGAAGGATTGACTCCTGTTCTTGATCATCGAGTAACATATGGATCTTTGATATTCTCCAACAGGCCACCTTGTAAATTCTTTTGTCAATGTTATCCTTTTCCTTTTCTTTATTTTTTAGAGCCAGTCTCACTATGTTGCCTAGGCTGGACTTAAACTCCTGGGATCAAGGGATCCTCCTCCCTTAGCCTCCTGAGTAGCTGGGACTATGGGCATGAGCCACTGTGCCTGTCTTATCTTATCCCTGTATCGTAACTTTAAATTCCAGGACGAGATACTTCCCATCTGGCTAAAAAATATTTCCATGTGATGTCACCAGTACTTGTGATATAGAAATCTATAGCAATATATTATCTTTCAAAAAAGTCATATTTGTGGCAAATAATTCATGTTGACAGTAAATAAATAGCTAATGATAAGTAGCTAAATAGCTTTTGATGGCTAAATAGCTTGTGAATAGCTTATGATAGGAAGTTTCTCTGTCCACCAAATCTTTCACCTGGTATCAGATGCAAACAAATACGAAATGTCACATGATAAAATATGTGCCTTTTTATCAACTTGTAGCTGTGTGTTAGGAAGGTCTTATACCATCAAAACTCTCCAAGGAAGTTACGTCATATAATTGGGCGTTAATAATGACAGATGGCCGAGAACCTGAGTATTTTAAATTGTTTTCTCTGATTGGCAAAGGTGTCACAGATAACAAAGAAGGTTTCAGCACCGTGTTGTGGTGGTATAATTTAGGGGACAGACTCACAATTGGACCGAAGTCTGAAAACCAGTTCATGATCAGTTCAAATTAAATATCATGAATCCTAGCCTGCTCATGAAACTTCTTGTCTGCAATTTTTGCAGCAGGGATTCCTCCATTTTTGTTTGTCTCTATGTTTTAGATGACACGTAAGCGGCTGGTGTCTCAGTGCCATCTGGCACATAATAGCAAACACAGATCCACGACCATATGGTGAAACGCCAGTAGAACGAGGCAGTGGTTTCATTGCATCATAATGTGCTAACACATGGGAGTAAAGATGAGGCCAGCATGATGGAAAGTGTCTCATGTTGGTGAATTCAGTATTGGGGAATGCCTACTCCAAATCATGGGAATAGCCTTGGGAAGATTTGAAGGCGTACGTTGGTATGTGTAGAGTAAGGTCATCTTGGCTGTTTGTTGGTTATTATTTTGGTTGGTGGTTGTAGTAGGTTTCTGTTGTGCGATACATATTACCACAAATTTAGTGGCTTATAACAGCACCTCTTGTTTCTGTTGGTCAGAAGTCTGGATGCAGTGTGGCTCAGTTGGTTTCTCTGTTAGGGTTTCACAGAGTAAAATCAAGGTGGTAGAGTTGCATTCTTTTCTGAAGGCACTGGGGAGGAATCCACACCCACGTTCATTCAGGTGGTTGGCAGAATTTGTGTCCTTGTGGTTGTGAATTCCTGGCTGCTGTTTCCTTGCTGGCTGCAGACCAGGGGCTGCCCTCAGCTCCCAGAGATCTCCCTGCTGCCTTTGCATGCTGTCCCCTGTATCTCAGAATCAACAACGGATTGGGTGTCAAATCCTGCTCACACTGCGTCTCTCTGACCTTGTTTTCTGTTGCATCTCTCTGACTGTAGCCAGGGCAAGCTGTGTTTTAAAGGTGCATGTGATTAGTTTGGGCCAACTCAGGCAATTCAGGACAATCTCCCTATTTTAAGGTTACTTAATTATTAACTGCAAAGGCCATTTTGCTGTGTAGGGTAACATATCAACGGGTTCCAGTCATTACGACTGAACATCTTTGGATGGGGTGGGCATTATTTGGCCACCACAGTGACAATCAGGATTCATAGTTTCTTATTAACTATATATTATTAATAATAAGTTTTAATTAACTATATTATTAGTAAGTTTTAATTAACTATAATATTATTTTTATTAACTGTGCTTTAAGAGACTTTTAGTTCTTTCTGTATCTCTTTTGCTTTTTCTCTTTCTCTCTCATTCCTGGAATACTAAAAGAAAAGAAGAGCCTGCCTCCGTCCCTTCCTCCCTGCCCCCATTCCCCCTTCCCCCCCTTCCCCCCTTCTCCCTCCCTTCCCTCCTTCCTTCCTTCCTTCCTTCCTTCCTTCCTTCCTTCCTTCCTTCCTTCCTTCCTTCATCTCTTTCTGTCTTTCTTTTCCCATATTTTCTAATCAAGTACAACTTGGTCAACTATTATTATATCTGGAAGCCTGAAAAGCATGATCTGTATGAAGTGAGCATTCCAATGCAAAGGAAATTATAAATTTAATTTGATTAACTAAGTATACCACTGGATGTGAAGGTGATGCCTTTATTATATCCATTGTTATAGTATTTAATTTTTTAAAAAACATAACAAATTTAGTAAAGGTTTCTGTATTTATAAAAATAACCAGATGCTAACTACCTGTAGGAACGGGTTATGAGAGCTACTTAAATTCTCTTCGTAGTTCATGTTAGTGTCAAGAAAGTCCTGACTTAGAAATGAGCACAGTAACAAGTTAAGTGTAAGTAGATAAAACCTGGTTTTATATGATACCGGTAACATTGGAACAGGAGAACACTGGCAACTTTTTAAAATTCATTCTGTGTGAATTAGTCTATTCAGGCTTTCTACTTCTCCTTGGTAATTTATAATTTTCTAGAAAATTTTTCATTTCACCCAGATTTTCAAGTTTATTGGTATTTGAAAAATGTAATGGATATTATAAAACCATTATATAGATGAATTTTGTATAATTATAAAAATATAATTAAAGTATTTTCACTTGTAGCTATATTTATTACTTGTGTTTTCTTTGTTTTGAACTTGCTATTGTTAGTATTTTGTTTTTTTTTCCTTTTGTTTTTATTTTGAGACAGTCTCGCTCTGTTGCTGATGCTGACTGCAGTGGTGTGATCTTAGTTCACTGCAACTTCTACCTCCCGGGTTCAAGCAATTCTTGTGCCTCAGCCTCCTGAGTAGCTGGGACTACACCTGCCTGCCACCATGCCCAGCTAATTTTTGTGTTTTCCATAGAGATGGGGTTTTGCCACATTGGCCAGGCTGGTCTTGAACTCCTGACCTCAAGTGATCCTCCAGTCTCAGCCTCCCAAAGTGCAGGGATGTTTTTTTCTTTAAAATACTCACAGCAGCACTGTATTTCTGTTTGTTTAATCGACTGTTTAATCAATTCTGATTTTTTGTTATGTTTATCATGATTTTGAGGTTTCTTTATTTTTTCCCTTTGCTTTACTTGGGTTTGTTTTGTTATTCTTTTTCTAGCACATTCTGTAGAAAAAATAATTTATTTAATTCATCTTGTTTTTAATAAATAATTGTATTTGTTTTAATAATTTCAAATTTGTAAATGCTCCTCTGAGAACCACATCTCACTGACTTTGAAATATAGTATTTTTGTTTTCCTCTATTTTTTCTCCTCTGATTTAAAAGCTGTACAAAAGCTGTTCAATTTCTATTCTTCTATGATGGCCTTTACATTTTTAACAATTAAACTTAGAATATTTTCTAAAATGTCTTGTGTTATTCAGTTACTTTCTCATTCCATTGGAGAATGGAATAAGATAAGAATGTTAGAATATTTTTGATTCTAGGATTCCACTCACAAACTGATCCTCCCCTGCTCCCAAAAAATCCTAACTAATCCATATTATCACCTGGAATTTTTATTTCAACTAGTTGTTCATATATTTTTATTTATTTAGATATTGCTGATTTTTTCCTACTTATGTTTTATTTTCCATTGAATTATTTATCCAAATTTTTTCTTTCGGATTTGTTTTTCTTCTTTTTGAACGTTGCCTTTCAAAGTTGACTTCTGGGAGAATCTGTAGGTACTATAATATGCTAACAAGTTAATATACCCGTATTTTACTTTTACTCTTGAAGAATTTATTTTTATTTTTGAAGTTTTATTGTGTACTGAATTCAAGGATGAAAATATTTTTTCTCAGGATTTAGAAATATTTTTCCATTGCTTTCTTGCATTCTGTGGTATTGATAAAGTCTCTGATGTCATTCTGAGTCTTATTTTTGAAGCTGAAACTTTCTTGTTTCTCTGGTAGATTTTGTAATTTTCTCTGTTGTTATGTTTGGTTTCATGGTATTTTGAGTAAAGTTATATTTTTTTTCCTTCTTGAACTTAGGGAACACTGTCATTTTAAGGACTCTTGTGTTTTTTTTTTTTTCCCCTCCCAGTTCTAGAAAATTCTCAGCCATTATTTGTTCTAGTATTGCTTCTCTTTCTTCTGTTATTTGCTTCTCAAAATATCATTAGGAGAAAATCACATTTTTGGGTGCCTATTCCAAATATTTTAATTTTTATCTCAGCTTCTCATCTTTTTACACTGCATTTAAAATAATCCCTTTGTCTAGTCTTCCAAGTGGCTGATTCACTCTTCAGCTATTAAGACCATTTACTGAGATTTTATTTCAGGAGTTTGAAAACACAAAATAGGGCTAGTTATAATCTGGGGTTCATGACACATTAAAACCATTGATCTAGCAGGCTTATTTTATTGTTTTTCATAATATAGTGAACATCCTGGGATGTGCTACCACAGTCAATAAAAGAAACCTATGCAATAACTGGCATATATGTTCCTCCCTTGTTTTGTTTCTTTGTTTCTCCAAAAGAAGTGTTCTAAGTTATTTTTCACTTTTAAAAAATATTTATCACACACAGAGATACTTACCTAAAATAAATGGTTTAGTTTTGCTTATTTTTATACTTTATTGAAAGCGTATTTATGTATGTAGTCTTCTGAGACTTACTTTTTTTACTCATTATTAAGATTCTGATGTTTATCCATGTTGTCAATTTTCTGTAGCCCATTCATTTTACTGCTGTACAATATTTTATTACACACACACACACACACACACACACACACACACTCCACTACCTATTTATCCATTCTCAGGTTAATGGCACTTGGATTGCTTTTATTTTTAGAAATTTAAGAGATACTCTACTCAGAGTATATTGAGTAGAAAGGGATTTAATACAGGGTATTAGAGACTTACACAGTTGTTGTAAGGGCTTCGGATCAGAAACCATCAGGAAGACAGCTGCTGGCTTGTGGGAAATCTTGAGGTGCAGGAAGCTGTTGTCAATGGTCTTAGCTTCTTGCTCTAGCAAAGTGGGTTACATTTAGAACAATTATCTGATTCCCTAGGCAAAGGCTATTTCTATTCTTTACCAATGCTTCCTGCTTCAATTATAGCTGCTGTTGAAGACTAATGGCTTCTTCCATTTTGCTTTCCAAATTTTACAGATGTGTTTCTGACTGATATCATCTAACCTATAATTCTGTTGGCAAGACATCTGGAAAATATAGTTTCTATTCTGTTCTTCTATGTAGGAGAAAGTATAGAAGAGGGTGGGGATCATGCTAAGTTGATCACAGAAAATCTAATACATTATGTGAAAGAGATTTTCTTGAACATAAGTGGAAATGCCGGGTCATAGGATATGTGAATATTTAAACTTACAAGGTAATGACTAATTTCTTTTAAATTTGCATTTTCACTAGAAGTGTCCTACTTCCTATTAATATCACATTGTCTCTACTGTTTCATATCATCTAGCTACTTGATTTTTGCCAATAAAGTGGACATATTTTCTTAATTACTGATGAGGAGGAATCATTTAATACATTATTCCCCATACATTTTCTCTTCTTGAAGTGCCCAGTTGACTTTTTCTTGTTTTAGAAATATTTTCCCTATTGTGTTTGTTCTTTATCTTATTAATTTTTAAGACTTCTTTAAATATTCATTAGTGACATAGGATTTTAGGCTATTAGTAAGAGGAGAGTTGCTTGTATTAGACTAACACTCTTGCTGCTAAAAAATAATAAATGCTGGTAATTGATATGGTTTGGTGGTGTCTCAACTCAAATCTCATCTTGAATTGTAGCCTCCATAATTCCCATCAGTTGTGGGAGGGACTGAATCAAGAGAGTGGTTTTCCCCGTACTGTCCTTGTTGGTAGTGAGTAAGTCTCACAGGATCTGATGGTTTTATAAGGGAGACCCCTTTCACTTGGTTCTTAATCTCTTT